TTTCTAATGTTAAGAAAAATTTGAAATTTGAGTAAAGACTTGGGCACAGTATTTACACTGTTTTGGGTTCTATGTACTATGACTTCTCCAGTGATAAGCCACGTTTGTGCAATTGCTAAAAGTTCTGCAACAGTTTTTACACTTGAATTACCCCTCCCTGTTATGATTAGTCTGGTGAAGAGTAAACCATATTCTTTCATTAAAACCTTTCCCACATTCTTCACATTGAATCTCTCCATTATGAATTCTCTGGTGCTGGGTAAGGCTTGATTTATACCTAAAAGCTTTCTCACATTTAGTACATTGTAGGGCTTCTCTCCTGTATGAATTTTCTGGTGTTGAGTAAGGCCTACTTTTTGAGTAAATCGTTTGCCACATTGTTCACATTTATAGGGTTTCTCTCCAGAATAAATTCTCTGGTGCTGTGCAAGGCCTGCTCTTTGAGTATATTCTTTCCCACATTCTTTACATTTGTAGGGCTTCTCTCCTGTATGAGTTCTCTGGTGTTGAGTAAGGCATGATCTTCGATTAAAAGCTTTGCCACATTCTTCACATTTGTATGACTTCTCTATAGTATGAATTACCTCATGTTTGGTAAGGCATACATTATTTTTAAAAGCTTTCCCACATTTATTACATTTGTAGGGCTTGTCTACAGTATGAATACTCTGGGGTCGAGTAAGGCATGATCTTTTATTAAAAGCTTTGCCACATACTTCACATTTATAGGGCTTCTCTTCTGTATGACTCTTTTGGTGTTGACTAAGGGTTGAAAATGCCTTAAATGTTTTTTCACATTCTTTATATTTGTAGGTTTCCTCACTGCTATGCAATACCTGGTGTTTAAAAAAGAACTTGCCACATTCTTCACAATTGTAGGGTTTCTCTACACTATGAATTCTGGGGTGCATAATAGAGAGTGATCCTTGATTAAAAGTTTTGCCACACTCTTTAAATTTGTAGTGTTGACCACTGCTATGGTACCTGAGGTCTTTAGAAAGTGGTGTGGAACTTCCTGCTTGAACATATTCCTTAAATATGTGGGGCTCCCTTTCAGGATGAGTCCATTGTATTGAGGAATGCTTGCAGTTGGATAAGAAGCTCTCTCACATTCCTCACATTTGCAAGGCATCTCTTGGCTCTGAGTACTTTGATGGTGCTTTGAGCAATGAGGAGGGACTTTCTTACATCTGTCATCTTTGTGAATGTTCTGGGCACAATTACCACACTGATGTTCCCTTTGATTGCAACAAAAGCTAAATTTATTGTGTGTTTTGCTAGATTCATGCTTTTTTCCTCCAATGTAAGGGCACTGGTAATTGCTTAGCATAGAGACCTGGCTGAAGGTGTTGCTTGTTTCATCACATGTGTTGCACACTTTCCAGAAATCTGTATCTGAATTTTGATTAAGCAGTAGGGAGTACATAGGGGCCTTCCCACAATCATTAAAAGTGTATCTTTGAGTACAAGAATAAATCTTTTGTTCATTGCAGAATGAAGGACAGAGTGTAGAGAAATTTTCAAAATCAATATTTTCAGAAACTTGTCCTTCAGTTATAAATTGAATACTTTTCTGAGCTATTAAATCTTCTCGAGGACTGTCGATATTATTAAGGACATTTTTATTAAAAACTGTCGCTATTAATGTGTCTTCTTTATAATATAATTTCTGATCTTCATTGTTACTTACACTGTTCTATATTTTATTTTGTTGTAAATACTCAAGGTAACAATTTTTATATCTTCTCTTTATCACTTTTATAAATAAATGTTCTCCGTTCAGTTCTGGTAAAATATCCTGGGTATGATGAGAGGTCATGGCTAGAAAAAAATGAATATAACAATTATTTTACATATTATACTTATAATACACTTTACAAATCTAACATACAATTATAGCAGTCAGAACTTCAATAGTATGGCATCAAAGACATAATTTCTCCATAAATATATGAACTAAATAACAATGGACAGACAAATGTACTTTGTAAGAATTACCCAAATCATCTGAGAATTCAGTGTGCAAGAGAAGTACATCATTAAAAAGAGTAATATAGCAGAGAAAAAGGAAAATGTGTTTCTTTTATTCACTACAGGCCTTTTTCCTCAAGAATGTACCATTCTACAATTAGGAAAAATCAACCAACTTCCTTCTTTTCTCTCAAAAGGAAAAGGAAAATGTAAACATGAACATTTTTGGCTTTCTTGGCGACTGCCTGAAAAGCACTTTCTGTCTACCATGAGAAACCTGGATATAACAAATGTTGGATGACAATAATACAGATATTCAATAGGGGCAGAGAGTATATGGTCTCTAAGGAGAAATATGAAAAATTCTTTTTATTGGTAAGCACACATTACACACAAACACACACACACAGGCACAGCCTATGTCAGTATTACCTAGATAAAGTCAACACATGGAGATCAAGATAAATAACTTGGTGTTTAATTTTATAACTTTGGTTATTTACTGATTCATTTCATTAACAAATTAAATTTGTTAAATTCATGAATTTACCAAGTATTTAATGGTATTTGAAAATATAATATATGGTGCAATGACTAATTCTAGCTAAGGAACATTTTATCTAATCATCATTTTAGTGTTTAGAAATCATTGTATTCATTCAATTAGCATTTGTCAAAAATACAGTACATTTGCCAGTGCAGTGGTATAAGCCTTGATTCTGCACAACTCAGGAGTCTGAGGCAGGAGGATCCCAAGTTCAAATTCAGCCTCAGCAAACTAGTGTGACTGTAAATAACTTAGCAAGACCCTGTGTCAAAATAAAAAACAGTAAAAGGGCTTGGGATGTGGCTCAGTATTTAAGTGTCACACCATGGGCTCAAAACTTCTTATGTCCTTTAAAATAATATATTGGGCTGGATGTGGCTCAAGCGGTAACACGCTCACCTGGCATGCACAGGGCGCTGGGCTCAATCCTCAGCACCACATAAAATAAAATAAAGATGTTGTGTCTACCGAAAACTGAAAAATAAATATTAAAAAATATTCTCTCTCTCTCTCTCTCTCTCTCTCTCCCTCTCCTCCTCTCTCTCTTTAAAAAATAATAAAATAAAATAAAAAATATATATAGCGGTCTTTCATCAACACTTCGAACATGCAGGAGTTGGTAACCATTTCACTCTCTGCACTTGTGAGTTCCACATGTGAGTCAGATGAGGCTGCAAATTATTTTCTGTGGCTGCCTTATTTCATGCAATGCAAAGTCCTGCATATTCAACCCTTGTCACTTTAATTGAAAAGATATCTCTTTTCTATTAGTAATTGATTGTGTATAAATACCATCTTTTTTACTCATCCAACTCCTGATAAGCACATAGGTGGAGTCTATGTCTTGACTACTGTGAACAATATTTGCACTGAAGCAGTAGGGAGCTCTCTCTTCAACATGATGATTTAATCTCCTCAGGATACCTATTTAGAACTTGTATTTCTGGATAACAGGGTCATTCCACTTTTAATTTTTTATGTGTGGTGCTTAGGATTAAGCCCAAGGGTGTGATACTATTGACTTACTACACAAAACCCTTTAAGCTTGCTAATTTTGAGACATGGTGTGACAAGCATCTTACATGTTCTCCCTATTACCTAAGATTTCAAACATGTAGCACTGTGCTTCCTGTTTTTCAGTTCTTTACTAACTCCCATATTGTTTTCCAAAATGACTATTAATCTACTATTTGCTGGCTGTTATATGGACAAATCCAAAGTTGTACAATACTCAAGGAAAAATGGACACTTGGCTAATCAAAAGAAAAAGTTATGAACTAACCAAAAGACCTAAATAGCCTTGTGAAATAAGTTTAGTTTAGTGAAATAAATGAGAACACAGAAAACTGAGTAAAATTCAGATAAAAAAATCATTACTAGACACAAGCAAAAATTGTGTACATGAAAGACTTCTTAAGAAATAGTGTCTGAGAGAGTGGGGTGGGGGTTGAGCACAGCTGCAGTCTTAGCAAATTGGGAGAATGAGCCAGAGGGGCCAGCCTCAGCAACTTAGTGAGATTGTCAAAAATTAAAAATGAAAAAGGCTGAAGAAAAGAACAATGGAAAAACAACTGAGTTCAATGTCCAGTATCAATTTTAACAGTCTGAGAAAAGATAAATATGAGCAAAAAAAAAGAAGTCAAAATTAAAGAAGTTCAATTATGTCTAAGTAGAAACAAAAAGATACAAAGTGAATTGTACTCAATTTTTCAGTGATCTCAAAGAGAGAATCTTGAGAGCACCAAAAGAAAAATGTGCAACTGAGAAGGGTAGTTGAATATAATTATTAGTCAATTTATTAATGGAAGCCTTGCAATACAGAATGAAACAGGAGAATAGCATCAAAGGGGTGATAAAACAAACTTCCCAACTGAGAATACTATAACCAGAAATACTATACTTCAACATAAATAAAAATAAAGATTTTAAATATGTATAAGTGCACCCAAACATTATAATTACTTAAACTTTTTTTCAAAAAATACTAAAGTGAATTATTCATATTGAAAAATGAAATAAATGTGCACAGCAACACAAGTCATATAAAATTTTAAAACTTTCATTGTAAGGAAGACTCATGTACCAATACAGAATTCAATTTTACTGGACTAATGGGTCATAGAACACTTTTTCTATAGAATTTAAAGTATAAAAACATAAAAATCATCATAAACCTCTAAATATGTATGAAATATAAAAATAAATGTGTCATCAATAACATAATTTTCAAAGGATACATAAATATAATAAATTTTGTTATGAATTGAAGTCAACTTGTTGCCAGTTAAAAACCTAGTGTAAGTTTAAAATCACTTTTTAAAATTTTTTTTTATTATTAGTTGTTCAAAACATTACAAAGCTCTTGACATATCATTTAAAATGATTTTTATAAAATATCAAAGTAAAAGACAAAATACTCATAGAATAAAGGGAAGTGAAAGAGGAATCAATTAATGTCATGATAACAATCTATGAACCACAAGATAACCCAATTAAAAAAGAAGGAAAAGAGAATTAAAGGAAGCAGAGGAAACAAATAAAAAGTTACAACTATATGCAGATTATCAGAGACTAAACCTAAAGATGCAATTTGAAGGCAAAAGTGTATAAGAACATTGCACACAAAAGTGATCAGAGGCTGCTGTGAAAATGATTATCGTATGTGCAACATACTTTAAAACAAAAACTTATGAGATACAAAGTATTTTATCTCAAATGTAATTTTATTGGCAAAAGAAAAAAATTAAAAATTAAATAAAAATAGAAGCAAATATAATTGTATTGACAATGGAAACAAAAATCAGACATAATTTAATTTCATCTTACATGCCCTAATTTGTGAAATATTGGAAATGGCCATTGAATTATAAAGTGTAGGTAAAAAAAATAGAAACATTAAATGAGGGAGGAAACCTACAGTACAACTCAAAATCTACTGTATAAAATGAAATACAGAAAAGGAAAAAATAAAAAGAAAATTTAACTAACAAAATTCAGAACAACCATTGATTGATTATTGTGCAAACCCTTTTATATAACTGTAGTTATCACCTATAACCATATAAGCAAAATGAACAGTCATTCACTAATGACAGAAAAGTTCCACAGAATATTCATTATAAGTATTTATAATGAGCTCTGATAAGGAAATTTCAAATAATAAAAACATAAGGATAAAAGAGAAACTACTTTCTGATACTACTATATTATAATAAATTCACCTATAGGTCTCCAGAAATGTGCACAGATTTCTGAGAGACATGTCAAATGATGAAAATGCCATCAGATCATGCTGACCTCATAAGCAAAGGGGAGTGCTTGGGATGTTGATTTGACTCAACACAGACATCCATGGAGAAGAAGGAGGACATTAAAGAAGAGCAAACCATGCTCAATATAGGACAGTACAAGAAATAAACCTAAGCTCCTGCAAGACCATTTCTGTGGCATAATAACTTCTCCACCAACATTTGAATTTGGCTTCTTCCTTGCCTTTGGACCTCTCAACTGTGTCCTCTGTTTCATGAATTTCTGCCCACCTGGGTACATAGCTAAGGGCTCTCTTCTTTGCACCAAGGGAGGGTGTCCAAATACAGCTTAGAGGCAATGTGTTCATTGGAAAATGAATTGACTATCTGTTGGGATTATTACTGAGAATATTGATGCTTCTATTCTATCTATAAAGGGAAGAATTTGGATTTTGACATGTAGGTCACATCTTTCTATATCGCTGCATTACTATAAGTACCACGAATTTTAAGTGAAAAATATACATCATTTCAGGAAAAAGAAAGATTAAGGACTGAAATAAATGGCATTAACATTTTCTTCTCTGTAACAAAAATTTCCCAATCCTTTTTCTTGAAAGCAAGAATCTGAAACTCATTCATGAAGAGCAGAAGTGCTCAATAGATATTCTGCAAGGTACGAAAATTATACAATTAGGAGTTCTGATTTATTTGGAATTCTGAAGGGAACTCTGCTCACCCAGGAAGACCAGGTTTCTGTAGGTCTCTAGCATCACTTCTTTGTATAAGTTCCTCTGAGCAGGCTCCAAGCATTCCCATTCCTCTTCAGAGAAATCAATGGTCACATCGGTGAATGCCAACAGTTCCTGAAATAGGAATAGATAAATTAAGAGCACATTGACCATTTAATCATTCACAGAGCTTGAAAGTTGGCCGAAGATGAAATGATAGTTAGTAGACCTGGCTCTTAACTGGTGAGTGTTGTTTATTATTCAAGAAAATACTTCATAATAGTGATTTTCTCTATTATAAAACTCTGAGAAAAGAGTGTCACAAATCCACAAAAAAGTTTTTATACTCTAATTTTACAAAATAAAATGAAAAATTAAGGCATCAACAGAGCATATTCATTTTAATTGTGAATTTATATATCAAATGATAAATTGTCTATTTCTCACAGAAGAAAATTATGGTGAGAAGAAGGGTGATTTTAAGTGCACAACCATTATATAAAATGAGGTTAATGTCTGTGAACTGCAGGTAGAATAAAATGAAAGCCTACAGGACTGTGGTCTATTTCAGGACCTCCAGTAATAGAGCCAATGTCTGTATGAAACAAAAGGCAGCAGAGGTTGCATTCCCCAAAGCAAGCCACAAAAATAAAAATTACTAAGAAAAAGAGTTTCTGTATCAAACATGATGGTTTATGTAGATTATTTAGAAAATCCTAACAAAACACCTCAAGTCAAAGACAAAGAAATATAACATTATAGGGAAAATGTGGCAGACAGCATTTAAACCAAGCAAATAAGGTTAAAAGAGTTGAAGAACAAATAGAACAAATTGGTACAAAGTGTCAGTCAATATAAAAGGACACATCATCACTGCTGTGATGTCTGTGGCCAAATCAAAACTAAATGACATAATAAGTATTTCAGCAGACTTTCCATGGCATTGTAGAGATTGAGTCTCTTCTAATCATTCTGTTCTTTTAGGACTTATTTTGTTATTAGGGGAAATGAATGTGCATTTTATTAAGTTTTGTTTATATATAGATAGTGGAGCATCCAGATGGAATGAAAACAAAGCAGGGTTCACTTCTTCTAATGACCCAGAAACATCCTCAATGGGAATCTAGGAAACCAAGACAATCCGATGTCCATTTATCAAAAAGAAAACCTTTTGAATCTCGCAGGTCACGTATGCCTGGCCTGGCTTTGATGAAAGTAAAAGAACAGAGGGCTCCTGATATCAGAGGGATATGTGTACCATATATGTTTTAAACAGAGTTCAAGTTGACTGTTGTGATAAGAAAGTGAAGCAAATTGGATTTAAAACATGTTAAACACAATACTGGAACAGTGGAGAAGTAACAGTCTGCATATTCCATAGTAGTTTGGGAGGAAAATTCAATGCTGCCCCTGACCTGGGAAACTCCTGGAAAACAACTACATCTTCCTCCTACTTCTCTAGGCTTCCTTCTCAGGAATGATTACCTACCATTCAAATCCATATCGGGAAAATATGGGACTTATTAAAAAAAAATGAGTCCCAAGGATCTTCCTTTGTAAGCTCAAGATTACCTTACCTACTAATCACTGAGCTCAGACCTCTCTGCTTTCCAAATTTATTTATTTAGTTTTAGATGAGAAAGAGCCACTATCTGAAGGTAAAAGTATTCATACTCAGAGGGATTTTGTTTTCTGGTTAGGATTGAATTCAGGGACTGTTTACAGATTTACCACTAGCAACATCTTTAGATCTTTTTACTTTTTGAAACATGGTGTCCCTAAGGTTCCAAGACTAATCTAAAATGTGCAATTCTCCTCCATTAGTGTCCTGAGTAACTGGCATCTCAGCCATGCATCACCCACTATGCGTGGCCAAATTCCAGTCCATGGGAAGCAACAAAAGTGTAAAGAACTTACATTTGTCCCTGAAATGGAAAAGCATCCATCTTTTTCAGAAAGTATGTGTAATATTTGGTTACTATCTCCATGATAACCATTTACTAAACAGAAATCATGTGAATAATTCTAGGATTTGCCAAATCTTATCTCACATGATTCAATATTAATCTCTAATATTCAGATGATAAGATCTATGACAAGTTGATTATCACATGTCTTCATGGATGAGGAGGTGATAGCTTGGTCTATATGAAATTCACCTAGGCAGCTACCAATCAATTTTTAAAACCTACATTCATTTCTCTGCCACCATAATGGTAGATTTTTCCTATTCATTATTTTTCGTAAAATTTCCAAAGCTAAGCCCTGAAATTCCACTTGAAATCACTTTCCAAAACACAGAGCACATGGGAATCCCATGAAGAACCCTCTGTAGAAGAATAAATGCAAATAAAACATTTAAATAAAGTAACATATGTCTGATTTTTTTCCTAAAATTCAACTTTATCCTGAAGTATTGGATATATATTTTTAATTTGAAGACTGATAGTAAAATACATCTTACAATTAGGGAAAAGTTGAAGCTGAAGTAAGTAAAGACATCTTTTGAAGGTGACAAGCCTGGGAAGAACCGTACTGAATCAGACCCAAGGTTAAAGTCAAGGCATCCTGACACTTTGGACATTCTTCATCCCCATTCTTACTCACTGAAGTACATTGTGGTTTCCTGTACACCCAGAGGGTGTGCGTTTTTTAGAATACTCTCCTGGAACTCACAACTCAGAGAAAATATAGAGAGTAGAACCAAAATTCTTTATTACCCCTACAACATAATTTATAGGCCATCAAAATCTCCATATAATGGAAGTTAAAGGAAAAATATTCATGTTACAAGGGGTTACAATGTAGATAAAATGATAAAAGAGGTTCCTCTAGGCCCCAGGTCAATCAGTGTTCCCCCAAGTCTCCACTTGGAAATCTGTTTTCTAGAAATAGATGATCAGGAGGCTGATGGTCAACAGACAATCTAAGAGAAATACCCCCATGGGTACCAAATGTCATCCCAGACGGTTCTGAAATCCAGCACCAGGGAAAGAATAGGACACTGGATAAGGACATGCCACCTAGTAAAGTTTCTGTTGTACTGAGCTTTCCACTAGTGACATAAATATCTAAAAGTCACAACTTAGGAGTGGAAACATTTATTTCAGCTCACAGTTTCAGAGCACTTAGTCCATAGTAGTCTCACTCCAAGACAGAAACATCATAGAAGAAGAACATGGAGAAAAGCTGTTCATCTCATGACAGCCAGGCAGCAGAGAAGGAGGAAGATGCTGGAAGAAGATGATTCTGTTCAGAGCTACCCCAATGATCTATGTCCTCCAACTAGTTCTCTTCCCAATAGTCCAGTCAGTTGTTAGTGGACTGGTCCAAAAAAGAAGTCAGAGCCCTTATGGTCTACAAGCCCATCTCTCCACCTTGCCGCAACTGGGGACCATGTTTCAACATATGAAATTTTGGAGACATTCCACTTATAAACCAGAATACTTGTCAAAGATATGGTGATAAGATGAGTGTGCCTAGGAAAGAAAAAAGAAGGCACAAAGATTTTCAAAAGCAGATCTGGTGATTATTCTCTGCTCTCAAACTATGTGAAACATTAACCTCCTAAAAACATACATTTTCAAAAACCATCATCCATTACTTAGGGGTAAATGACAATTAAGATAAAGCATTAGCTTCAAATATTGCATGGGTAAAAATTGTTAATAATCCTGTGATCTGCAAATGAAAAAAAAATGATATTTTGGAATCTGTAGAGGAAACTCGAAAATAAAGAATTTTTTTGTCAGCCCTGTGAGCAGCTATCTAAGTTTTGAGATCCTACCTCTCATATTGTGGGAGAATCAGAGAAAATAAATAACCCTGGGGAGAAAGGAAAAGCTGATTTCTGATGCCAACAAAGCTCATCCTACACAAAGACCACATCCACCAAATTGGCTTCTCCCAATGTGGTGCTCTGTATCCTCTGACAAACTGTGAAGACACAGAGATATCAAAAGATGGCTCTTTGTAATGACAGATGCCCACACTTTTCAGCTGCTGGCTGTTCTCCCACCCTATAGTCCAGAGAGGTCAAAGGGCTATCATTCCATAGTAATGAACTTAGATCAGCTGAATCTGGCTCTACTTTTAGGCAGGATATTTTCCCTCCACAGCTGATTCTCCCTTTTACAAAAAAAAAAAAAAACCCAAAAAACTGCAGATTCTACATTTTCTAACATTTTAGATATTCCAGCACTATTTTTAGATTTATTGTATGACTGGGCCTCACAAGCAGAGGCCATTCCAGAATTTACACAATTTGATGAAACTGTGGAAAGACACCCCTTCCTCTCTTACTGCAGGCCTGATTGGAGAGTTTCCTCCCAGAATCCATGAATGGGGAGAGGCCCAACACAGGCACAGAGTTCCAGGAGGTACAATCCAAACCCTGGCTGAATGATGTCAGAGTGGCACACTCTTGGCCACAGCTTTTCTCAGCAAGTTGCTTGCTCAGAAAGAACTTTTGCATCTTGGCACAGCTTCACTCTAGGCTTCAGGAGATACCAGAACTGTCCCCTTCTTCTTTACTGGGCTACTCCTGTATCTTTCTTCTACACAGGGAGTCACAAGTGTGCATGTGTAGTATTATAACTCAGTTGATGCAGCAAGCCAGCTCTGGCCTCAGCACAGGAGAACAGCAAAAGCCAAGCCTGGCTATACCAGCAAGGAGGGAGCTAGGTGAGGCTAGTGTCTGCATGACCAAGGCTTCTGACACTTTCTCTCTCAGTCTATTTCATCAGAGCAAAAATAGATAAATAAATAAATAAATAAACAAACAAACAAACAAATAAATAGTAATTAACCCCCCCCAAATACAATTATTAAGCACATATAAAATTGTTGTCATACAGCAGGAATATTTTTAAAAAATGAGTTCAAAGCAAGAAAACACATATTTTAGCTAGCTCATGTAAGGAGTCTGCATAACCCACATTTCAAGAAGCCAACCTATTTAGAGGAATAAACCTGTATGCAGAGGATAAACCTGTTTGCAGAATTCAGAAGCTCTGGAGACAGATAGATGGATGACATGTATCTCCAGAATGATTCAGTCTCTGGAGGAGAGGTTTGGAAATCCAAGGATTTAACTCTGGGAGCTCAACACCTTCTCCTGTCCTCCAAAAAATTTA